TTACTCTCAAAATCTCCTGTGATAATAATTTCTTTTGTATTGTTTTCCAAATGTTGTAGCACTTCTTCCAGGCTCTTTCATGTCTCTGGAATTACTGCCTTATTACCAAATAATATATGCTATAAGAATAAGTGTTCAAAACAACAACAAAAAATGTTATATAGAGAAAACAGAAATTAGTGTATCGCCCAGGTAATGCATTTATTACAGTGTGTCCTATTTTCCTATTTTCGAATGACCTTTTTTTTCGTTTTAATTGACTCATTTTTCAAGAAATCGCATTTAGATTGATTTATCACATCATTACTAAGCAGAAATTGAGAAAATCTTTTGTACATCAGTTCTAGAAAATATGCAAAAAATTGCAAAGTCTGATAATGGTCGAAATTTGCCTAAAAACAGAGTTCCTGATTTGAAGTGGGTAAACGTTCCCTGTTTCAATTTTTCTGGGAAAATTCCAACGGTACACGAGTCTTTTAGTTGAGTCGATAAAACTTTGTTGACAGTGTTAACAGAAATGCTATCGTGTTCCAGGATTTTTTTTTTTAGATTTTTCACATCTAAGATTTCATGATCTGTTTTCGTGGCAAACCACTCATTGGCCTATTGTAATGGTGTTCGATCCGACAGTTTAAGGTATCATTACTGATTAAAAATAAATAAATAAATAAATAAACAAATAAAAAATATATAAATAAAGGTAGTCTCCTTGAAATGGCAAATTAACTCGAATATGACAGAGAACAAAAGGGGCATCTACTGTTCGAGAACTGTGCATCTATGCATAGTACGCAGGTACAGGTATCCGGCTGGCCGCTTTTCATAAATGGAGGAATATGAAATCACAGTTACAGTTCGTAGGGTCAGAGTCTGGTGATTATGGGATTACATGCATTACTTTCTTGTTCATTGCACTGCATAAAATAATGCATAGATACATTAATGTAACAACATTCAACATGAAATGCACCCTTATCTCCTTACAGAAAATCTATTAGATGTAGAACTTAAGAAAATGCAACATTGAAGCTGTGAACTTGATCTGTCTAAAAAGTATACGACTATTCATGGTGTGTCGTAGGGCTGAAGCTTTAGTCATTCTATCGGACTGTGACACTGCCTTTTGTAATCCACAGCTGGAGGACCCAGCTGAAGTGACATCTGATGAAATTTCTGTCGTGATGATGTTCAGCCTGCCACATCATAGCAGTTCACACCATGAAGGTTTCAGCAATTCTTATGTTTAATCTATCTGAACATGAGAAAATATTTAAATATTGTTTTAGATGCTTTTCATTTGCATCAAACCATCTGTAAACCATCTTTTATTTCCGTTTAGAAGACGAATTTCCATAGAATTCCAGCCCTGATCACAAGAAAGAGACAGTCAGATTGAAAGAATGATAGACCGACAGGTAGTGAGCGTGAGAGAGAGAGAGAGAGAGAGACAGAGAGAGAGAGAGAGAGAGAGGGAGGGAGGGAGAGGGGGGGGATGCAGGGGTGATGGGCGTGGATCCCACTGGCAGTGACTTCAGTTATTAAAGGAGTAGAAACATAAGCACCCATTAGGATAAATAAACATTTAGGAATTGCACCATTTAATGTTTCCTAAGAGGAAAACCTACAAACATTCAGGATGATTTTCGCTACCAGATAGCTACGTAACAGTGAAAGTATAGTAACAGCCAGACGCCAAAGTAAGACTTCAGGTGTGTGTTCTTCCAATCATGCTGTCTCCTTTCTCCTGCTCTTGAGGACAGACTCAATTCTCCTAAGACCTGTTGGATTTCGAAGGGGTCAGTTCAATTTGAAAATTCATTTGCTCAGTAATCTGCTGTTTTGACCATCCGTACGTCAATCATCGTCATAAGTGCAAGAAAAGCTTTCCCGTCGCCCACCTTCGTCGAGCTCCTCTTCCCTCACGCTGAAGATGAGGCGGATCCAACCCGGGTCGGAGCCGTACAGCTTGCTCCCGGGCACCACGTACACGCCCGCGCGCATCAGCTGGGCGTGGATCTCTGCAGAGTGGAGAAGCGGAGAGAGAGTGAGTGAGAAAGAGAGATAGATGTAGATGAGAGAGGGGGAGAGATTGAAAGAGAGAGAGAGAGAGATGCAGACACTAGTAAAAATAAACGGCCTCGATTCCTGTTTACTTCATACTCAAAATAGATTTTAAGAACAGGAGAAAGGACTCACCCATTTCCTCCTCGGCGCTGTCGGTCTCCATGAAGTCCCGGATGGAAAACCAGACAAAGAGGGCCGCCCGTGCCTCCCTCACACGGGCGCCCATCGCCTCCAGGCGCCCACGGGCGTGCCTGTAAGTACGGCCGAGTCTCTCGCTGTTCAGTCGGAGGTAGAAGTCGTCGCACCAGGCTGAGGAGAGAGGAAGGCCGGAGGGAGGGAATGGGGGATGGAAGCTGAACCGGGGCACTAAATGGCTTCAATATGTGGCATGAAATGGGACTTAATTCGTTCTGTGGCGTTCGCGAAGGTGAGAGAGAGAGAGAGAGAGAGAGAGAGAGAGAGAGAGAGAGAGAGAGAGAGAGAGAGAGAGAGAGAGAGAGAGAGTGAGTGAGTGTGTGTGTGTGTGTGTGTGTTCTCATCTAGTTGTTCAGTACGGGAGAAGAGCTAAGCTCAAATGGTCCCGTCTGATATATTTAAATTATCGTATGAATTTTTAAACTAATGCACATTTTGGACAATTTTTTTTAAAGAAGACTGTTCCATCTTTCAATAGTTCCATTTAGGAAACAAATTTTTGAACATCTTTATAGCCTCTTCTTATTTTCAACTTCAAAACTATAAAGCCATCTTTGTTTAACTTCACTCTTCCTGTAACATAGTTGAACAGCATAATCAAGTCCCCCCTTTTCTTTCTTTCTTTCAAGGTAGTAAGTCCTAATTTCTGTAGTCTATCTTCGTAGCGTAGGTACCCATCTTGTAGCCCTTTTTTANAGAGAGAGAGAGAGAGAGAGAGAGAGAGAGAGAGAGAGAGAGCGCGAAAGCGAGTAAGGAAGAGACGTACGAACACACACACACACCCATGCTCACACAGGTGCCGTGTGGAGTGAGGGCTATGAAACACACCCGTTAGGAGGCGATAAAAAGTGTGGGAATGAGTTGATTTAGACGGAGGTTGGGCACTAATGGGAGGGAGGGAGGGAAGGAGAGGAGGGGGGGGAGAGGGGGGAAGAGAGAGAGAGGGGGAGGGGGAGAGAGAGAGAGAGAGTGAGAGTGGAGTAAGGAAAGGAAGTAGAGAGGGAGGGGGAGAGAGAGGGAGGGAGAAAGAGGAAGGAAGGAGGGAGGAGAAGTAGATGGAGACGAAGGACGAAGAAGGAAGAGGGGAAGAAGGATAAGAGAAGGAGGGGGAAGGAGAAGGGGTCAGAGGAAGGGTAGAGTGGAGGGAATAGCGTGATGCATATGTGATGGAGGGGAAAAGAGTGGAAAAATGGTGATGAATATGCAGATCTCGCGTGCGTCGAAATGAAAAAAAGGAAGGCGTGTGTTGGTGCGCGTCTGCGGGGGGAGGCGGTCAGAGTGGGAGGGGGTATGGGGTAATTAATATATATACTATATATATATATATATATATATATATATATATATTATAATATATCATATATATATATATATTATAATATATATATATATAATATATATGTGTGTGTGTGTGTGTGTGTGTGTGTGGTGTGTGTGTGTGTGTGTGTGTGTGTGTGTGTGTGTGTGTGTGTGTGTGTGTGTTTGGTGTGTATGATGTACAATACAATATTTTTCTCCTTCTCTTCGTCCCTGCTTCTCTCTCTCCTCTTCCGTTTTTTCTTTCGTTTTCTCTTCTCTTTTTCATCTTCTTGCTTCCACTTTTCATCACCTCTTCCTCCTCCTCCTCGTTTCTCTCACCTCATTCTTCTTCCCACCTCCTCCTTCTCCACCTCCTCCTCCTCCTCCTCCTTCTCCACCTTCCTTCTCCACCACCCACCACCACCTCTACCTCCTTTCCTCCTCCACCTCCTCCTTCTCCCCACCACCTTTTTTTCCTCATCCACCTCTTTTTCCCTCCTCCTCCCGTCCTCGTGGTACACCGCCGGTTAGCGAAAATGACGATGCAGTCTCATCTTCGCCAACCCCCCACCCCACCTCCACCCCCCATTCCCTTCATCTCCCTCTTATCCACCTCCTTTATTCATCTTATGCTTTCCTCGACGCGATACGTTTGCTAAGTAAATTGTTATTACCCCTCTGGTTTCTGATGCAGTCTTGTGATTCCGCTCTCTTCCTCTTTCTCTCTCTCCTTCTCTCTCTTCCTCCTCTCCCCTCTCTCTCATCTCTCTTCACTCTCTCTTCCTCTCCTCATCTCTCTCCTTCTCTCTCCCTCTCTCTCTTGCTCTCTCACTCTCCTCTCTCTCTCTCCTTTTTCTCTCTTTCTGCCCATCTCTCCCTCTCTCTCCTCCTCTCTCTCCTCTCTGCCTCTTTCTCCCCGCTCCACTTTCTCCTCTCTTCCTCTCTCTCCTCCTACCTCCTCTCCTTTCTCTCTTCCCTCCCTCCACCACTGTCCGCCCTCCTCTCACCCTCCACCTCATCCTTCCCCCCCTCTCCCCTCCCCACCACAAAAAAAGACAGAACAATGGAAAAAAGGTTACTCAGGATGGAGAAAAAAATACAATCGGAAGAAAAATCTCGGGATTGCCGATTATACAGAAAGGGAGAGAGATATCCGCATCTCATCAGACACGAGAACAGTCCAGACACAAACACAGAAAGAAAAGAAACAAAACAAAACAACAAAAAAGAAAAAACAAAAAAAAACGAACCCAAGAAAAAAAACAAAACAATACATCCTACTCCCTTCACAAAAACTCTCAAGAGATCGGCCCCCAATCTAAGCCGGAAGCCCCCCTCTTCCCTCTCTCCCTCCACCGACACAATCAAATCCACTCTCACTCTCTCTTCCTCCCCTCTCTCATCCCTCGTCTCTGAAGTTCCTCCTCTCTCTCCAACTCCACCCCCCCACGCCTCCCGCGTGCTCCTCCCTCCTCGGCTTCCTCCTCCACACCTTCGCCCCTCTCCCCTATTCTCTCCTTCATCTCCTCTCTCTCTCATCTCATCCTCTCTTTCTCCTCTCTCTTCACGCACAATCTCTCTTCTCTCTCTCCTCCCTTCATTCTCTCTTCTCTCTCTCCGTCTCTCGTTCCTCCTTCTCCTCATCCACGTCTCTCATCTCCAGCTCCTCTCACTCTCGCTCCTCCGCGTCTCTTCTCTTCCTACCTTTCTCTTCTCAGGTACTCCTCTCCGGGTCTCACCACTATTCTAAGTATCTCTCTCTCTCGACTCTCCATCTCTTATGCCTCTCAGCCTCCACCACACATTCAGAGACTGCTAGTCCAACAAAAAAGACACTAATAACACCCCACCACCACCTCGCCCTGAATTATTCCCTCCTACCAACACAACTGCCAAAAAAAAAAAATAAAAAAAAGGCCTCCTAGCAAAAGGAACGGATCTTCCCATCTCTCCTACCCAGCACATCTATCACCCTCATCTACCACATCGTACTTGAGTCGCAGCTCGTGACACGGAAGTACCCCACGAAAACTGTGTCCGGGAACTCACATACCCTCAGGTCGGCAACGGGAGATCGGTCGCGGGCCTCGGTGAACCGGGGCCGTGGAATGGCAAACGGAGTTACCTCATGTTCCATCGGAATCGGAGCAGATCGAGGAGCAAGAAAGAAGGAGGAATCGGAGGGAGGCATCGGACATCTCGGAGGAGGGTTCGGGGCGGTCTCTCGCGTCATTCTCCCGTCTCGGGCTCGTTCGTCGTCTCTAACGCACATCCTCATGGGTGCGTGGATCCTGTCTCTTCGCACGCTGGCTTCAAATCGAGGGAGGGAGAGTGCTCTACTCTCCTACCTCGGGCGGACTAGACTAGACGGCATCTGTTTCCGAAAATCGGCAATCTCAACGAGGATGGCGGCTCTTCCCGGCTTCTATGAAGGGAAAGAGCCCAGAGGATCGGATGAATGACGAGACGAGAAGAGAAGAAGAAGAGACGGTAGAGAGAGCATGAAGGAGAGCAAGAAACAAGAGAAGAGAGACGGAGAGACACCGGAGAGATAGAGAGCCACAGAACTCGAAGAGGTACGTAGACATTTATGAAAGAAGAGAGGGTACACTAATAAAGATCATGCACCTCATTTCGCAACGCAGCGGGAAAGCATCCCAGTCAACAGAGAAAAATTGTCCGAGTATATCAGCGTCAGCATAAAGTGCTATTAATATATTAATTACTGTATGATGTGTACGACCACCACCCTCCTCATATCTCTCATCCTCTCCATCGCAGTCTTACTCTCCCCTCCTTTCGTCCGCCCTAGTTTACCTCCGCGTCATAAACTTCGAACCCCTCAGAAGGTGGTAGATGGAGCCGTCTTATGTCTCTACGTTTTTGGTCTCTCTTCGTGTTTTATGTTGTGTCGATGTGTTGGGATTTATGTTTGTGTTTAAATGTGCGTGTGCCAACTCTCATGTCTGGAAGCGGTTGCCAGGGCCGAGGTTACGGCATGTTAACATGTCAGTAGCGGAAAGGGAATAGCGTCTCATTGTGGAGGCTCGATGGTACTTGTCTAACAATCATCTCAGAGCCTGAAGGGAGGGAGGGAGAAGATCCAACAGGAGGTCAGAGGAGAAGAGAGAAGAAGAAAGAGAGAAAAATCAGGAGGTAGAGTCCAGAGTCCACACGAGAGGAGAGATGGTAGAGAAAATGGATACTGAAGAAGAGAGAGAGCACGAGTATGAAGCGCTAAAGAGGATCAGAGAGAGAGAAGAGAAACGAGAGAGAGAGAGGATCGAGAGAAGAGACCGAAGGCTAGCAAGGCTACCACAAGAGCAACAGATGAGAAGAGAATAGAAAAAGAGGCCGGAGGGCGTTGACGAGAACAAGATCAGGAGCCGCTCCGGGGATCCGGTGTTGCGCCGTCGTCCTCATCGTAGTCTCCCCGGCGGCTTCGCTGGTTCCTCACGGACCGCCCTAGAGTCGTCCTCTCACATGCAGTGCAAAATCAATGGAAAGGGGAGCGCCAAGTCGGGCGGTCGTCGTCATTAGCGTTGACTCACGGAGGTCTTGGGGTGAGCGTCATGCCGTGGACTGCTTGAGGAGAATCCGGGGGGAAAGGGGTATTGGCGCCACACAGAGGAGGGGCTGGCATGTATTCAATTTTCCTTGTGCCCTCACATTTCGCCTCTAGGTAAATTTGTACATTTTTTTTTTTTGGGGGGGGAGTTTTTTTTTTAGGAAGTTCGTTTTGTTTTATCTGCTTATGGGTAAGTTAGTTTTATTATTATTTTTTTTTGCCTTTGGATTTAGGGGTGTTGCCTTTAGTGAAAATAGTTTTTATTTTGGGATTTTTTTTCTATTTTTATAATTGATTGGCTTAAGGGTGAATATATTTTTGCTTTGTATCTAATTTGCTTGGGGCGTGAATTTCGTTTTTGACTTGAACTTTAC